ACTCATTTGTCGCGCAAGTGAATGAATGCAATGATAATTTCAACTGTTCGAAGTACGTGACAAATTATTTTTTGGCCCACTGTTTTGAAGTCTAATTCCAGCAGCACCATGTACAACTGGATTGTTCCATCAATAGAGTGATATTGTTGGCAGTATGTGTGACATCGTCACAATGAATGTTACGGTCGTACTGTGAAGTTTTAACGTTGAGCAACTCATGAAACTAATTGTACGAACAGTGTGTTGTGAATGTTTTTTGGTAATGAAATTTGAATTGATTATGAATTAATAATTGCTCACTTCACAGTACGACCAGAGCATATCAACGTATTGCCTTCCAAATGAAATGCAAAAAACGTTTCTCTTTCAGAGACGAAAGTTCCTTAAGATTTTTCTGTCGAGGACGTAATTTGTCGCCCTTTCTTACTGCATTTTGCTGTTCTCTCAAATCGGAATCTCAAACCTACGCTGTACGCATTAAGTCGTTTTAATTTCATATAGCCAAGGAGCGAAAGATCATGTGGATAACATGGATACATCAGAAAATGGCTGCTGAATTTTTTGCATTTTCGAATCTTGTACTCAAATCAATTGGAATTCCTGTCTCAGCCCGACATAACAGTTCAATTTCATCAGCGAATGCCAAACTTCTGCATAATCCATAGCACAACAACCGACTCTTGTAATTCTTTAACGCATAGTATGCCTATTCAAGCGTTCTTATGAGTACTCGTCATTTGAGACATTGTTTTGGGCGGCCGGGCAACGTACTTTTCTCAATAAGTGCAAATAAACATTCATTAAACATCCATTCTCTGTGTTTCAGGCGGCCGAGCAANCAATATAACTATAAACAAAATTTCCTAACGAACGCTTACATCGAATACGTATAAAAGCAATTGTTGTTTACGAAAGAGAAGCAAGTTTCGCAATAGAAAGTGAACAATTTGCAAAATGAAAGCAATCAATCACATGCCATGTGCTCCTGAGTGCAACTGTTGTTCGAGTTCTGTTCAAAGATAAAATAACAAACCTAACGGATTAAAGCTCCAATGGTTTTTCTCAAAGGATTCGATGATTAACAACGTGAACACTTAGAAATTGCTGCTTACGATTTGAAAACTTCATCTTCGATCATCTATCTCCTCGTCCAACCACATGACTTCTTCTCCATTTTTCGATCCATCTCCTCTTTCTCTCTTAGAAAAACTATCTAATAGCAAATTTGATTGCTGGTCATATTTCATGCCACAAAAAAATGTATGCATTCGCCTCATTCGTCTTCAAGAATCAATCCCATAAAATTGGAAAAAGCAGTTTCGAGAAAAGGGTGCAACGCACAATAAAACATTTCTATTGTTATTTGTAAGGAAAGCAATAAATCGTAAATATAACTGTTTGATTTTCGGACAAATGCATCGTTTATTTATGTCAGTTTTGAGATTATTTAATGTTCAAAAATTAGTCGGTTCTTGATTTCAACGATTTCGTTCCTTCATCAGTAATCAATACAGTACATCAAACTGTGAATGAATGAATTTCAATTGCTGGAATGGTTTTAAAGGGTTTTTTCAACCCTTTAAAACCATTTTAGCAGTTTGTGTTAGACATCAAAGAGCGCAAATTCCTTTCGCGTATGTGTCAAGTGAAATTACTTCTCGCACGATGAGGGCACAACCACGTTTATGGTTTGATCATTGTGAGCGATTTCAGAACACTCACCTCATCAGTACATGCTCTTTGCTAAATCACAATAAGAGGGTGTGGATGCTTCTGACTTGAAGTTTGCTTATTCCCGATTTGAAAATTGTAGCGTTTTTCTCATAATAATGTATTGATCAAGTAGAATATTCTCAGGTCACATTTACACTAAGAAACTACTTGTGAGCTACGCTTATAATATATGTGATTTATGTGACATGGTGTTCGTTAGTATTTAAAGCATGACGAATATGTTCATTGCGAGTTATGAAGGTGATTAAAATTTCACATATTTTGGGTTATAATCTGTTTCCCTGATCTGACATTTATCGCTTTGACCAACGAGATCAACCGGACTAAGTAAGGTATATGCGAAGTGGTGATATAAGACGATTGAAAGCAAATTTTGTGGGCCTTTAGTTGATTCTTGATTCTTAAA